ACTTTTTTTTACCCTGTGATTGGTTGGTGATTGAACGGGTTACAGACGATATTTCTTTCGCGCTCTTCCCCTCGCGCGTGACTCGTACTTCGCGCTCGCCTCGCGCTTACCTCCGTTTGACTGAAAAGCTAAAAAAAATTACGCCTGTTCCGCAGAGTATTAGGCAATGTACAGCTTACGATGGAGCGATTTAGAACTCTCATCTGTATGTAATTCGGTTTTGTATCCTCAATTTTGGGAATGTTCTACGGTTTTCTTTCGTTATTCGTAATCTTTGTGATCTGTGCCCAATCGAAATAAGCATTTTTGTCCTAGAAACAGTCTACATTCTGAACAAGAGACGACGATACTTGGTGTAGGGGTTATGGCACGTCGCCCTCGTTGTGCACGCCGACAATCAAACGTTGTAGAAAAATAACTCCTAATCGCTGTGCCCTTTAAAAAAAAGAAATTAAAATTATAGTGAATTGAGAGAAAAAATATTTGTTATTCTTAAGAATTAAGCATCTTTACGATGTGATTTGCGCGCCAAAACGTTTTGCCATTTTTTAATCTTTCAGACACCGGTGACAAACGTTGATGTGAACTTTTGATCTTTGGAAATTGAGACCCAAGATAAATTTACCACGGGTGAATTTAGGTAATTTTCCTTCGGTACATCGGTCTCCACCCGCTAAAATGTCTGCAGTGTGACCACAGCTAATACCTGATTTATTTATTTACTTTATTTAATCATTATTTAAACACGGTAATGGTGGCAAAACATTGCATACCTTATCAATTTGTTTGTTTGTTGTTTTTTTTTAATACCGAGAGTACTTGAAGAAATCACTTGCTATTAACTATGAAATTGGCCATAGAGATGGAGAAGCTTCATGCTACGGAAAGCTAGGAGCACTGTTCCAGTCGCTTGGTAAAAATTTCAAGGCTCGAGAGTATATGGAGAAAGCACTCGCTATTAACATAGAAATCAACAACAGAAATGGAGAAGCTTCGTGCAACTTAGTACTAGGATCATTGTTCCAATCGCTTGGTCAATATGACAAAGCCCGAGAGCATCTCGAGAAATCACTCGCTATTCGAGTGGAAATCGATGACAGAGGTGGAGAAGTTTTAAGCTACGTAAACTTAGGAGCACTTTTTCAGTCTCTGGGTGAATATAACGTGTCTAAGGAATATCTAGAGAAAGCATTACACGTTACAAAGATGACTGGCCACCGAAAATTAGAGGGAGACGCTTATCGAAACCTAACTGTTTTATTTCTGTCCCTTGGTCATTATGGGAAGGTCGACAATTATCTTGAGAAAGCAATGGCAATTAGAAAGGAAATCTGTGACAGAACTAGAGAAGCAGCTGATTTACACTACCTTGAGATAATTTCTCATAAACGTGGTGAATACAACAATGCTCAGGAATATCAAAACAGAGCCCTTGCAATTAACATGGAAATTGGCGAGAGAAAAGGAGTAATAGTCGCTTATGCAAATTTAGGATTTTGTTTCCAGTCACTTGGTAACCATGACATGGCCGAGGAATACTTCGAGGAGGCCTTCCGACTCAGTAAGGAGATTGGGCACAGCTTTTATAAGTTTCAATGTCTTTGTTCACTAACATTGTTAAAGGTATCTCAAAGGGATTTCGAAAAGGCCTCTTCGTGCCTTTTTCAAAGCATTGAAATATTTGACACCATTCGAGGTTTTCTTAAAGACAACGATCAGCTTAAAATATCACTTTTAGAAGCGCACGGTACCTTTCCCTACATGAAACTCAGTTGGTTGCTTTGTTTCACCGGAAAGCCAGAAGAAGCTCTTTATGTCGAGGAGCTGAGAAGGGCAAGAGGCCTGGCCGACTTGATGGCAACTCAGTACTCCGTCACACAGCAGATATCTAGCAACCCACAAACATGGTTTGGCATTCAGAATACTATCACCAAAGAAGCAGACTGTGCATGCCTGTACATTTCGGTTGATGAAGAATCTGTTCGGTTTTGGGTTCTCCAAGCAACGAGAACTATTCTGTTTTTGGAAAGGAATGTGAGTCTTGACCCAAGTAAGGTGACGGGATTAGTTCCTGACTTAGATGAGTTTTTCTCAGGAAGTTTCCGCGGCCTTGGCATTCTACCCGAAGAGAATTGCGAAGATCGATCTTTTGAAGAAACCGACTCAATGTCGCTCGATGATGAAAATCGCGCACCCATGTGTGATGATGATGATGCCAAAGATGCTAAAACGAAGCTTCACTTCTGTCACAAGATAATCATCGCTCCTGTGGCCGACTTACTGCAGGTGCCCGAGATCATAATTATTCCCGATTCCTGTATGTACCAAGTCCCATTTGCAGCCTTAAGTGAAGAAGGGGGCAAGTGCTTATTAGAGACGGCCAGGATCTTCATCTTTCCCTCTCTAACGACTCTTAAGCTCATTCAGGTAAGCCCCCCAGAGTATCATAGTCAGAGGGGTGCACTGATAGTGGGTGACCCTGAGGTTGGAGAGGTGATTTAC